TACTTTACAGTTTCGCTTGAACTTATTACTGGATCCCTTATAGCGAGAATCCTGCTATAACGGACATTTTTCTCCGGTCCCCTCCCTCTCGTTATAACAGGATTCCATTGTAGTATTATGTAGTATGATGTAGTACATGTACGCACGGCACTAACACAACGGTTACCTGATAATCTTTCCAACACACGTCTCTGCAAGCTTGCTGATTTTTTATTTTGGCTGGTTTCATTTTAAAGGCTTTGGCCAAAAATTTGTAAAAGGGGGCTTTCGTGGCCTAGAGGTTTAGGTGTTCGCCTCTCCTTCAACTTCAGTAATCCCGGGTTCAAATTCGGGTAGTGATAAGATAAAACATTATTTTCCTCTAAAATGTTCTTTAATCTCTTTTTCTGCTTTTTAACAATTTTTCTACTACTACTTCTTGGCTTTCTCTTCTCTTCTTACTCTGTCCCCGTGGTTTTATGCACCCCGCATAATTTAACAAAATTGGATAATTTTTGGCATAATTTCTAATTATTTTCCTTTATCATTTTTTGTTAAAAGGGGGCTCTCATGGCCTTAGAGGTTAAGATGTTGGGCTCTCATTCAAAAGGTCCCGGGTTCGAATCCGGGTAGCGACCGAACAATTTTCTTCTCTAAATTTGTCTCCTTTCACCTCATTTCCTGCTCTCTAGCAATGTTCTGTCGTCTGCTTTCGTCTTCTCTTTCTGCCCCAACCCCATCACCTCCTTTGCCCCTTCCTCTGGGCTCCTGATTCTTTCTGCAGCCTTTCTACTGCTACTCCTTTGCTTCTTCTTACTGCTGTCTTTCAGCCGTACCCCTGATCTTTTGGTAGGAAAGATCTACACCTACCCTTCTCGGAGAAGGGCGAAAATCTCGGAGGGCCCTTGTGCAAGTTGCACACGTTAAAGATCCCTACTTGGTGGTCTAAAATCGATAAGAGTAGGCTTCGGCCGCCACCCGGGCAAAATGCAAAATTTCCTACCAACTGAAAATATTAGGGGAGTGCTTATTTAGGCCACATATGGCCTAAATAAGGTAAAGGAGGCGGGTTTAGCTTATTTAGGCCACAGGTGGTCTAAATAAGGTAAGGGAGGGGGGTTTAGCTTATTTAGGCCACA